CCGCCGCCGCCGCAACCGCAGCAGCAGCCGTCGTACTACGCTCAGCAGCCCCTGCCGCCCGGCGGTCCGCGGTACGACCGCCCGCCGACCTTCTCCACGAAGGCGGCCCTGCACACGATGCTTCGTGCGCGGCAGCCCCCTGGTGGCTACCTCCCGCAGCCGGGCATGGCGCCCCCTGCTGGCCACGCGGGCATGCAGATGATGCAGAACCGGCAGATGATGGTGGCGCAGCAGCAGCAGATAGGACAGCAGCAGCAGCAGCAGCATTACGCGGCGTCGTACCAGGACGCACGCATGTACGCGCAGCAGCAGCAGCAGCAGCAGGCGACCGCGCAGCAGCCGCTGCACCACATGCCACCGCAGCAGCAGCAGGGCGGCTACGGCAATGGATACGGAAACCCGCACCTGCAGCAGACGATGGCGCCACCGCAGCAGCAGCAGACGAGTGCTGCCATGACGATGATGCAGCAGCAGCAGCAGCAGCAGCAGCCTGCGGCAGCGTACAGCCAGCCCGCGTACCAGGCAAACCCGAACCTCATGCACGGCATGATGTCCCAGCAGCTGCCTCAGTCCAGCGGATACGGAATACCACCCCCGCAGCAGCAGCAGCCGCCGCCGCCGCCGCCGACGCCGCCGCTGCACCAGATGGCGACGACGTCGCGGCTGAAACATCCGAACGTGCCGATGGCGGGCGGGGCAGTGGGCGCCGGCACGGCGATGCCTTCTCATGCGATTGCCGGGGGTCAAGGTCATGCGATGATCCAGCAGCATCAGTACATCGCCCAGATGAGCGCGGCGGGAAGCGGCGGCAGCGCGGGCGCAGGCGTGGGCGCGGGGCCCAACCCGCAGCAGCAGCACGCGCCGCAGCAACGACAGACGGCTCAGCTCATAGCCAAGCTGAAGGGAGGTCTGCAGAGCAACCACCCACCCCCGAACTACTGATGACCTCCCTCCCTCCCTCCCTCTCTCCCTCCCTTCTGTCCGTCCTCCCTCCCTCCCTCCCTCTCTCCCTCCCTCACTCCCTCTCTCCCTCTCTCTCCTGTGCTCACCCGCTCTCACATTACTGATGCTTGGGCCACCAGCCCCTAACCAACCCGGCACTATTGATGATGTTGTGTGAACCCGCGATTATGTGTAAAATAAAGGTAAAAGGTGCGGCAATCGTGAGTAAAGTCACGGTAAAAGGTGCGGCGATCGTGTGTAAAATAAAGGTAAAAGGTGCGGCAATCGTGAGTAAAGTCACGGTAAAAGGTGCGGCGATCGTGAGTAAAGTCACGGTAAAATGTGCGGCGATCGTGAGTAGAGTCACGGTAAAATGTGCGGCGATCGTGTGTCACATTATCTGAGCTATAAATGTGTCGTTGCTGTCATTATTAATGTGCGCTGCGAGTTCGTGACGTGAGCTGGAATGTGGCATCACTGTGTGTAATGAATGTAATGCATGTGTATATATTTTATCCATATCTATCAGATATATATATCAAGTCAAACCCGTGTTAGCAGATACCTGTCGATAAAGGACGCTTAGAAATTGCCTCGAGTTGCTGACATACAAAAAAACTACCTCTACAGTAGAGACAGTTTCCTTGCATACCTGCCACTCGAGGTAAATGTCAAAACTGTCCTTTGTAGACAGGTGGCCCTTCTATAGAGGTGACACTGGTTTGACTATAGTCGTATTCGCAATCTCTTCGGTGACAACAATGTCTGCCGTATGTGTAAGCTTGTCTGAAGTAAACGAGAAATCTGTAGAAAATTCATGTTATAAATTGAAATCAAGTTAAAGTATGAATCGTTAAATTAGCACATGCGTTATTGTTAATATTTTAATTTTGGAAACGCTGCAGACTGCGGACTCCCTCATTTGCGCTGGCGTGCGGCACTCCCTGCGTTCTTTAAGAGGGGTAGGGATAGTGTTGTTGGACTCGCTGTTCAAAAGTTAATTTCTACCCCCGGTATATATATAGCGTAGTGGTGTTGTCCGGGTGCAGCTACTTCAGCCGCCTACGAGACGACAGCTGAGGGGAGCGTGCTGCTTGCTTGCAGGAGAGAGCATGGAGCGACGGTGGTGTCCCGACGGGCGGTTCCGTCAACCGGGCCGGGGGAGGACCAACCTCTGGCAGGGCGGCTGGCTTGCTGATGGGTGACGAACGGAGGAGGAGAAGGCGCGCGGAAAGGGAACCTGACGCTGGACGGAAGCTCCAAGCAAGGAGGGGGTGGTGTCGCGCGCATCCACAGGGAGGAGGGAGGGAGAGATGTATTTAGCGGAGGAGGAGGAGAAGGCGCGCTCGGAAGGAAGTCCAGAAGCCAGACGGATAGCTCAGCAAGCGGGTGGGTGCTGCGCTGCATTCCACGGAGGGAGGGTAGGAAGATGTGATTTAGGTGTAGGAGTGGAGGTCGGAGAAGGGCGCGTCCGAAGGGAAGCGCTGGACAGACGGAAGCGCTCAGCACGGAGGGGGGAGTGTCAATGGAGGAGGAGGTGGGTAGAGGTGATTTAGGAGGAGGGGATGGAGGAGAATGGCCCGGCGAAGGGAACCTGCACAGACGGAAGATTCGCAGCTAAGGAGGGGGGGAGGTGTCACGTGGAGAGGAGGGGAGAGGTGTTATTATATGAGGGAGCGGGAGAAGATGTTGATTTAGTGGAGGATGGGTGAGAGATGTGATTTAGGAGGAGGGAGAGATGTTATTTCAGGGAGGGGAGAGATGTATTTAGGGAGGAGTGGGGGAGGAATAGTTATCAGGAAAGATGACGCCAATGTGAAGGAACCACCAGCAAGGAGGGGTGAGCAAGAAAGGAAGGGGTGGAGGTGAAGGAGAGGTGTTGGCTAGGAGGTATTCTGGGGGGGGGGGAGACTACCCATGCCATCACACAATGGCAATGCGAGTGTTTGGATGTAGTAATAACGTACCATCCCTCTATCGGATGTAGAGACAGCAGCTTTATTCATGCCAAACATGGCCGACACTTACATAAAGTTCAGTCGAAATTGATCATTCTTTAATGAGTCTCGGCGCCATTCACACCTGCACCAAAAACTATTTTGTGTACAATTTTCCAATTATTTAACTACGTATTTCTTCGATGGCCGGGCGATATTTCCACATAGACAGCGCGACAGCGTGTGTAACATGCGTGTTTCAACTGCGTGCTTTCTCGTCGTTGCCATCATCGGAAATCCGGGCACCTGCTTCATCGACGACGACGACGTCTTTCTCCTCAGCGCGATGGAGCGGCGTCGAAGCTTCACCTACGCCGTAGTCTGTGCAGCTGTAGAAGGTTCGGTGTGGACTCGACCCTCACCAGCTCGACCCCGAGCTCACCGCCTTTCCTCAGTTAGGGGGGGGGGGGGGGGGGTGCCCGACCAGCCTGTAACCAAAGGTCTCTTCAAGAGTTCTCATGATGCTAAGTTGTGAGCGACGACTGTTCCGCGGATTCTTTCTCAGCAGATGGCAGCGGTGCAATATCGTAGTAAGTGTTCGTAGTGTAGGGCGGGTGTAGCGTAGAATAGAGCGATTTCTAATGGTATGTGTGCTGAGTCTAGATGATTGTATTTTCATGTAATTCTAGTTATCAATATAGAATTGGTGGGTATTTCACTTGAATAGTCCATTCTTTAATGATACAGTAGAATTAGTGTATGTGGAAACATAATGGATTGATTCAATATTCTTTATTCATGTACTTCTGATATGTAGTTATATACGTAGCTAGTAGTAGTCAAAGCAGAGATAGCCGGGCAGCGCGGGTGGCCGCAGCAAGCACATGCAGCAGATAAGTTACAGTAGTCGACCACACTAAATATTCATCACACTGCTAATAAAACGGCTACATGGTGTGATATATCAGGTGATATAATCGTAATTTGTATATGCGCAGATTTTATTGATCAATTATATTCATGGGGTATTCTATTTTCTCTAGTAGTCTGCTTGTCATTTATAGGATTGGTCTTAAAAGATGTTTTATGTTAGCTTTTCCTATTTTGTGTGTACATGCTGATGCTCTTTACTACTGTTTCAGAGCGCTTACTGCAACTCGAAGCTATCTTGACATGTTTATGATGGTCATGCGTGACAGGGCCGGAAAATCAAAGTCTTAAGTGTGTCCCAATGTCTGACTTAGGAAACGCGTCTAGATGTAACTTGAATAACCCTACTCGCATGCAATGCGTGGCTTGTAGCTACTCATAGGGGGTGCTATCACAGGTCCGACTGCATTTGTTGACAGACGGTAGAGAGAGAGAGCGTGAGAGAGAGAGATGAGAGAGAGAGGGAGGGAGAGAGAGAGAGAGAGAGAGGAGAAGAGAGAGAGAGCGAAAAGGGAGGGGAGGGAAGGGAGAGAGAGAGAGAGAGAGAGAGCAAGGTGCAGAGAGACAGTGAGAGGAGATGAGAGAGAAGAGATGAGAGGATGAGAGAGGAGAGGGAGGGAGGGAGGGAGGGAGAGAAGAGATGAGAGTAGAGAGAGATGAGAGATGAGAGAAGAGAAGTAGAGAGAGAGAGAGAGAGAGAGAGAGAGAGGGAGAGAGAGAGAGAGAGAGAGAGAGAGAGAGAGAGAAGAGAGAGATTGAGAGAGAAGAGAGTAGAGAGACGAGATGAGAGCGAGTAGAGAGAGAGAGAGATGAGAGAGATGAGAGAGACCGAGACGACGAAGGAGAGAGAGAGAGAGAGATGAGAGAGACGAGAGAGAGAAGAGAGAGAGAGCGAGAGAGGCAGCAGAAGAGCGAGAGAGGGAGAGAGAGAGAGACAACAGACATGACAGACGACATGAGAAAGCGAGAGCACTTGGTAGAGAGAGAGACACGGCTAGACAAACAGACAGAAGTACAGACAAGTACATGCGAGAAAAGCGAGAGGCAAGAGAGCAGAGAGAGAAGAAGACGGACTAAAGCAGAGTCTGACACCAGGACATACAGACAGAGAGAGCGAGAAAAGAAGGAAAGAAGATTTAGACAAAGGGAACAGACAGACGGACAGATCCAGGCGCTCATGTATGAGAGCTAGGCGAGCTAACATCCATGCATACCCATAGCGGCCTAACGCCTGCATCTCGCCTTATCCTCGATGCCCTCGATCGTTCTGCTCCCTCAGGATCTGTGTACGGGTAGTACAGGTTAGGGTTAGGGTTACAGCAATCCGCGTGCGCTGCCGCCTTGCATCTCTCTTCCTCATCTGTCTCTCGCTGCAGGATCTGTGTACGGTGTACAGGGTTAGGGTTAGGGTTAGGGTTATAAGCACAGCATCGCCGTGCCTGACGCGCTGCATCCTCATCTCCTTAATCCTCGTCTCCGCTGCAGGAATTGTGTCCTCGTACAGGTAGGGTAGGTTACCACACGCGTACGCGCTGACGCCTGCATCTCTTCCTCTCTCGTCTCTCGCCTGGTCAGATCCTATGGTAGCGAGTGTAAAGGTATGGGTTAGGTTACACACACTGCGTACCATGAACGCTGCATCTCATGACTCTCCTCTCTCTCCCCTGCAGCGATCTTGTACGGTGTACGGTGTTTTAACAGGGTTTTAGGGTTATGGTGTTACACAAGCATGTACCGCGTGTCATGACGCCTGCCATCTCTGCTCTCCTCTTCATCTCCCCTGGAGCGGTCGTGTAGCGCTCACTCGTGTACGGTTTCAGGTATTAGGGTAGTAGGGTTACACCAATCATATAAACAGACGCGTGCGACGCTGCATCTCCTCTCCTCGCTCTCGTCCCCTGCAGGATCTGTAGTACGTGTACAGGGATTAAGGTTAAGGGTTACACTCGACAACATTGGACCCGGCTGACCCTGCATCTTCTTTTCCTCTTCTGCTCATAGCAGATCTGTGTACGGTGTAGGCAGCGTTAGGTTAAGGGTACAACACACGGTGTGGCCTGCACAGACGCCTGCATACCTCTCTCCTCCTCGCCGGCCGCCTGCAGCGATCCATGTGTACGTGTACAGGCGTAGGGTTAGGGTTACAAAACACACAACTGCGGCCCGCGCGAAGCCTGCATTCTACTCCTGTCCTCGTCTCTCTCTCCCACTGCAGATTTTCGGTGTACTAACCCGCAGCGGTGTACAGGTTAGGGTTTTCAGGTCTGACGCGCAACCGAGCATGCCTGAGCCTGCGTCTCCTCTCCTCCAGCTTTCTCTCACCCTGCCAGGACTGTGTACGAGTGTACACGGTTAGGGTTAGGGTTACCAACGAGCGTGCTGACGCCTGCATTCTCTCTCCTATTCTCTTCGCCCTGCAGGATCTGTGTAGGTGTACAGGGTTAGGGTTAGGGTTACACAACCGCGTGGCTGACCCCTGCATTCTCTCTCTCATGCATCCGCTGCAGGACTGTGTACGTTACAGGGTCTAGGAGATTAGGGTTTAGGTCGACAATGAATCCTCAACTAAATCTAGAAACACCACGGTGCCTGACGCCTGCATCTCTCTCTCCTCCTCCCTGCAGATCTGGTACGAGGTGTGACAGGGTTAGGGTTAGGTTTAGGGGTTAAAGTACAACACAGCATGCCTGAACGCCTCGCCTCTGCATCTCTCCTTCTCTCCCCTGCAGGATCTGGTACGTTGCTGTACGATGGGTAGGGGTTGGGTTACCACATCGCGGTTTCTGCCTTGACGCCTGCATCCTCTCTCTCCTCAAATCCCCTCAGGATCTGTGTACGGTAGTACAGGGTTAGGGGTTAGTATACACAATGATAGCGAAATTTTCCATCTTACCGATCGCACCTGACGCCTGCATCTTCTCTCGTCCTCTCTCTCCCTGGGCAGGATCTGTCGTAGGTGTATCAGGGCACGACTGGCAGCAGAGGAGAAAGGAACCTGGTATCGACGCACCTGCGCATGTGGCATACGGGCAGTCTACTGATAGAGAGCTTTGTCACGCCTGCTGTGCTACCCCTTTGGACATGCCTGCCTGAATGATTCAAGTGGACAGCTAGCCACAGAAACGTGACTGGGAAACTGGCTGACGTGCACTACTATCACGTTATGATTCAACTTCCGATCGCCCGCGTGTGGGCGACTCGATAACTTAGTAGCATCGATGTAAATAGTAGATGAAATTAATGAAAGTCATGGACAGATTTAAATGTGAACTTTCTGAAGTGCTCTAGTCTAAAGAACAACAGTGCTGACTAGTCACGGCGGTCTTGTCACATCTATGACACGAGTTTATTACTATGACACGTATGGTATAGAAATGTACTATGTATAATGTTGTTTACAATCTATGTAAGCTCAATATTTAACGTTGATCAGGGGTGTATGGTGGTGTGCAGAGCAGTGGTTATCGGTAGTGAAGACTCTAGGCCTTGTCGTGGTTGTAACTTTCTTAACAGCATGTATGAGAGTGTGTGTGCATGTGCGTGCGTGTGTGTGTTTTCAGCGACGCATTAAATTACACGTCATCGTTGTGCAACGGTATTGCTGTGAAGCGTGTGATCGTGTGCATTCTTAGTTAAATTCTTTTTGGATAAGATAGGAAAGTTTTTGCTGAAATACTGTGAAGAAGAGAGCTTGGTGAGATTAGATTGAGAGCGCCCGGCACAATGTGAATTGTCAAGTTGTGGTATGTGACATTAGGGTTGCAGTAAAATGAGATTGCAAATTCCCGGCAAGTTTATTCTGTCTTATTTGCCGTACTGCTTGTCTGTGCAAGGTGGCTCCCTGGCACGTTCATACTCCTGGTCAATCTTCTAATCCTGTGTATTCAGCCTGACGCAGCCAATCCTTATCCGAAGCCGCGTCGATTCCTTTAAGCACTTAACAGCAAATTACCATGTGCGCCGAACCTATTTGGTCAGTGAATGGGTTTTGGTCGTTTTTTATGCAGAGATCAGAGAAAGTATTCAGAGAACGCCCTGGCTGTAGAGGGTATGACTTTTATGGAAAAATGGATTGAATTACTAAAGTACCGAAGGTTTAGTGGCCCCGTACGTTTCTGAGTATTTCGATTAAGGTCTACAGCGCGCGCCTCCTTTGCCGGTGGCGAATATATGGATCTATTATTATTCATGCATGTCCAGTCATTTGCATCACGCCCTACTTGTGTTGAGAAGATAATTTTAGGAGTTCTAAAACAACAAATATGCTGCCCTTGCATTTCAGTCGGACCTGATATTTAGCCAGCAATACTTTATTGAAAATATGGGTAGACCCATTCCTAGTGACTCCTCCACATCCTAAAGTTGTAAGATTCGATGATAAGGGCAGACACGGCTGCTGGAGGAACCAGAGAGCGGGATGACTGAAGCAAATCCACCTTAGAAGACGAATTGGTTAAATTTGTTAGACAATTATTGTTACGCCCGAGTTGCAATTGTTTACAGATCGTTTGCTTTTACACTTTGTGTTTAGTGAAAGCTACAACGATTTTGAGATGTTTTTGGCATATTTTCGGAAGGAAATCGTCGACAAAAAGCAATGCTTCGACCATGCTTCTTGGGCATAGGACAATAACTCGATACACATGAATTCTAAGGATACACTAGTTTTAACGTTAGACTAGATCTCCATGCTGTGGGTCGTGTATTTACAAAAGCGAACTAAGTGATTACTATAACTGTGCCCATGTGTATAATATATATATAATAATATATATATAAAAATATAATTTAAACCAGA